CGAAGAGAAAATTAGAATTAAGAAATTACTGGAAGTGGTAAAATTATTTTACTAAAATTATTATAAATGCAAGAAATGTTTCGGTTCATTAAATCATATACATTTCTTACCATTACCACAACTAGACCTCGTCAGTACGACAACTGTAGTGACCGTCATTGGTGTAGATTAAATTTAAATTAGCTGCGCTAAGCATGTTAATAAATCAGGACGCTATTTTGAAGCTCAATCGTCATTCCTTCCAACCTGCGCAAGCAATCTTCCAATGTGACTTGTTGAGATGTACTCGTACTCATACTGTATGGCGATAGCAATGCTTCCTGTGCTACATCAAGTGATATATCCCAGAATGGATCGAAAGTTGTTGAAACAAACCTAAAATTTAATTCATACTTTGAAACTTTACTTAATGCCCAAATGGAAATCTAGTGATATCAAGTGAAAAAAAAAAAACGCAAAAAAGGGCGTCAATGCGGTGGAGGGCTTGTCTGAACGAAAAGACAGGATTACATAAATGAGAAATTCTTACGCATTTAGCAAAAAAAAAGGACTAATCGTCAAAATTAAAAGTAAAAAATTTTCCAAAAGACAGAGGCAAACAGAAGTAAGCCAAATGTTAGCAGGTGCCAAAAACATATGCAAGTATAGGCGGATCCAAGGCAGTTTCCTGGGAGGGGGGAGAAGCGATTTTGCCAATTTTTCCTCCCCCTCCCCCTTGCTTGTCACTATATCGGAAACCCCACTATCCCTCTCCCCCTCGTCGGTCGGATCTAAACTCCGGCGACGACCAGGGTAAGGAGTGGGGGCGGGGGAGGGGCTGGGGGAAGAGAGAGAAGAACGAAAGTGGGACTTCTGGAAGAGAGTTTCAAAGAATATCGAAGAGAGTTTCACAATAAAACAAGTCCTACCAGTGCCGCTGGGAGTAGGGGGAGGGGGAGGGCGAAACACCCATCGCCCCTCTCTCGGATCCGTCAACGCTTGCAAGACTGCCGAAGGCTCATTCTTGCATAAAAACAGTGTCTTTTTCGCTCTTGCTCCCCTTGTATGCGCCAGTACCAATTTCCATGGGAATGAATGAAGTTAAATCTCCAAGTTTTACAATAAACCGAAAAATAAAAAAACGTACCCACAAACGGAACATGTG